TAAATTTGATAACTTTTATTAATTTTTGAATTTTTTGTACTACTATTTATATAAATTCATGCTCTAACAATTTTATTACATAAAAGATTTACCCAAACAGAGTTCCAGCAAAAACATTAACCCTTTCTACCCTACTTGTGCTCACCCCTAATCTTAACTTCAAAAATGAAAAGGGGAAAAAAAAAAAGATGATCTCTCCATCATTAAGTTATTTGCACCAAGCCACCATGCCATTAACTAGCAACTACTTCCTCCAATAATTAGAGCGAAGATGGTTACTAGCTTGGTTAACAAAATTTTATTAGATAAATAAGATTAGTCAATATTTTTTTATTACTTCAACTGCACTAAATTATAAAAAAAAAAATTATGAGAAATAATTATCAATATTAAAAATTCATCCTTTATTTGAAGATTAATTTAATATTAACAGGGAATTTAACCTAACAACGATTAAAGGTCTAATAAGAGCTCAAAGACAATGATAAACAATAAAAACCTACTCATCGTTACCAATGAATTAGTAGTGGTGTCATAAATAAGAATTAAAAATATTTCTCTTTTAATTATATTGAAGATAATAATTTTATTATATTTTTTTATATAATATTTAGTTCCCTACTATGTCTTTTTTAAGTAATTGATTATTGTTAATTTAACCGTTAAAGAGTTTTTATCAAGACACTTAAAATTTTTAAATACTAAAATAATTCGAGACATAAACAATACAAATATAATCTAACACAATTAAAACTATATAAGAAGATTAGTTGATTAGAACAAATCAAAATAAAGAATTACATAATTGGGATCATCATGAACACGGCAATAATAGCGTGAACCTCTCCTTAAGAGCCAACTCTGACATGCTATTGTTGAGGGAGAAGCACCCACCTATACAGTAAAATAAAATAATTTAACGACCTATGGAAATCCATGTAGTGTAGAAGCATTTTTCTTTCTTCTTATCTAAATGGGTTCCAAAGACAGAAGGTAGAAATACAAGATCAATTGAGCCCTCCACCTTTTTGGTAGAATCTTGGGCAGGGGATGGTGTTGAAGCCAGACAAAGTTGGTAATAGTGTTCCAAGAGGAAAAAGTGTTGGGCTTTCAATTGTCTTTGTGTAGACTTGAAAAAAAATCCATTAATATATAGGCTTTAAGTCAGTATTGCACGTGCTTTTGGGTACTCTCTCCCCTTCTTTCAATGCAAATTTTCTCTCTCAACTACAACTCTCTGGCCTCCCTGCACCTGCACATCTTCTTTTGTTTGTATCTTCTTCCTCTGTTTTCATTCACTTTTCTCAGGAAAAAAACCAGAGGAAAATACCCATTCTTGATATGAAAAAGAGCTTAACATGATGGAAGGAATCAAAGGAGGTAAGGTTGGGGTCGGAGAAGATCATGACATGGGTGATGGAATGCAGTGTAGTGATCATCCTTACAGAAACAACCCAGGTGGGATCTGTGCATTTTGTCTTCAAGAAAAGTTGGGAAAGCTTGTTTCTTCTTCTTTTCCTCTACCCATCCATGGATCATCCTCCTCTTCTTCTTCCCCGTCTTTTAGATCTGAAACCGGTGTTGTTTCTTCCGGTTATGGTAATGGTGGTGTCGTCAACGGTCCATCTTCTTTTTCCTCTGTTTCTGGGTCTCTCTCTGTTCGTCCTACAAAAGGAAATGATGATAGTTATAATGAATATTACACGAGGAGGGCGAGGATTCCGTTTCTGTTGGCCAAGAAGAAAAAGAAGATGATGGTGGCGTCGGCGGATCATCCTGCTGCGGATGTTGTATTCAAGAGGAGCAAGTCTACCACGACGCCCAGGAGACCTGGCGCTGCCGTGTACTATGAAGGGGAGGATTTTAGCCCGAGGAAACGAGGTGGGTTTTGGTCGTTTCTTTATCTTTCTTCTAGGTCCGCTGCGCACTCCGGCAAAAAACCGGAAAAGATTGCATCTTTGGCGCCAGAAGTAACAGGGTCGAGGTCGGCGTCCTCTGTTTTGAAACAGAGAGAACAATGCTTGGGTGGTTCGTTGTCTTTGGCCAGAAAAGGAGGCATTGTGGTGGTGGAGGAAGACGACAGTCCCACCAGCCAAACCACCGCCTCCTCCTTTGAACGGAAGGTGTCGAGATCCAGATCCGTCGGCTGTGGAAGCAGGAGTTTCTCCGGCGACTTCTTCGAGAGAATCTCAACTGGGTTTGGCGATTGCACTCTGAGGAGAGTGGAGTCACATAGAGAAGGCAAACCCAAACACCCTTCCACGTCCGCCGCCGCCTCGGCCATGAAAGAAAGGGTCAAATGCGGTGGCATTTTCGGGGGGTTCATCATGACATCTTCATCCTCATCATCCTCTTCCTCCTACTGGTTATCATCCTCAGCTGAAGAAATGAACGGAAAAGTAACAGCAGCTCCACTGGTCCACGGCCGGAGCAAGAGTTGGGGGTGGGCATTTGCTTCTCCCATGAGAGTTTTCAGCCACAAGAACGGCAAAAGATCAGACACAACCACCATTAGAGAAGCTAACAATAAGAATACTACTCCAAATCTCTCTGCAATTCCTTCATTGTTAGCTGTTAGAAGCTAAAGGGAAATACACATTAAATTTGCCCAAATTTACCTGTTATTATTTCTATGTTAATTTCTTTGAACCCTGTTCCATTAGTCATGTTATACTTATTATTTTCATTTTAATCCTGTTTCTATACAGATAATTCTGCAAATAATCCTGTTTTTAGGTTTTCATCACTCTGTTTCATTAAAACCCAGATGGGTTTTGGGAATTTGCAGTAAGGAAGAAGATGTGCAATTTCTTTTTCTTTTTTTTTTCTTGGGTAATTAAATATGTATTTATTCATAATATTATATTTGCATCCATTGGTGATATTTGATCAAGAGTTTGTTGTATTAGTGTTTGGATTGGTTCTGTATTTGACTGTAAAATAAGATAGTTTTTAGTTTGATTAATTTAAGTGACACTTTTTTCTTTACTTCATTAATCACATGAATACACATGTTTGGTGGTGATGAACAAACTGGAATTCTAGTGCAAACAAAAAATTAATTCTCTGGATCAGCAAGGATTTATTAAAAAAATAGTGCTGCAATTTTGATATTAAAAAATAAAATGCAGTTTTGATTAAGATCTTGGAATTTCTGTATGACAAAAATGGTGAGTTTATTGCATTTAATTAGACAATAAAAATTGGCCAGCTGGTTGCAATTTTGTATCTTGGAATTTCTTCAGGGTGCACTTGCATCTACAGTCTATGGTATACTTGATGGGGTGTACTTTATTATTAGATCAGGTTGGGTAGATGTGCTGGAGCTAATATAGGGAAATTAAATGAAAGACTGAAATACATAGGCTGAAATTCCTATTTGCAGTTTTGCACCCCGAAAATTACCAATGCAGATTAAATGGAAGACTGAAAAATCTTGGGTAGGGAATTTAGCTCATGTTTACTGCAGAATATCCAAGAAGCGTAAACTTGATAGCTTCCTCTCTTTCTTGGCCTGATTTTTGTTGAGACTAGTATTTTGCAATCCCAACTATAAAATATCAGTTATTTAATTGATATTTTACATATCAATATAGTTTAAATTGTAAAATATTTATTTAATTTTTATGTTATAGTAAAAGCTCATAAATTAATAACCTGTTGTAAGTAGTTTTTTTTTTTTTTTT